CTGTCCTTGAAACTTGCCGCGCGCTGGGAGCCATGGCCTCTCCCAGCCACTTGTTGGCCTCCCATTGCTGTGCAACCGCGGTTACTGTGGTGCCGTGCGCATTATCATTCGCTCCAGGAGGCTCCCACACATTGTTTGACTGTGTAGCCTTGCTTGCACTGCAATGTTAACCGCGACTACGGCAACCGAACCGCCAGCGGGTGCAGCTATAGCCCCAGACCAGACCATAACATTCAATATTCGCAAAGTGTGTTTAGCAGGTAAAAAGACGTCTGCCATGATTCCCAATCTGGTGAGCTTTTGTTTCAAAAATATGATTCCTGCATGACCCACCAACCATCATCGCTTGATGTTGGATTTATGTGGGTTGCTTGGCGGCTGCGGCATACTTATCCCCACCGCCTCACTCTATCGCATGCATAATATGGAAAGCACAGCAACAACGGAGCGCAACGTTGCACCGGAACACATAGCGGGAGATGAATGCGGAAGTCACGAGCAACAATCCACAGCATGCTATCTAATCGGCCACTTTCATCGCTGGGCCGCCTCTGCGACTTCGCTCGGCACTCTCTTTGCAGACGGCATTGGTTTTTACCGGTCCCCTGCAGTGCCGGATACTGCGGAATCATGACCGCATGCCAGCCATCGCAGAACATTCTCCGCGCTGCCTCAGCCACGCCCAGCACAGCGTCCTTCAGCTCCACACAGCAGGGGAAAGCTTGGGCCCCACACCCTAACTGCGGCAGAAAGTCAGTGCCACAAACCCCGCATGGCGTGCAGAGAGTTCGTGTCACAGCCCCCCGCCCAGCAGAGCCAGCCCCGCCTCGGCCAGGGGCGTGACGTCATAACACGCGCTGTTCCGGTCGGCGGCGCGGCCGTGCGTGGCACGTAACGGCCGCGCCGCACTCGCGCCACACTGGTGTTCGGCTGCGGCGGCGCGCGTGTGACGCGCACCATGCAACGGTACAGGGTCCCGGCTGTTAGCCGCTGTCGCCGGCAGGGCCGGGGGCTGGCGTCCGGCGTCTGTTGACCGCTGTCGCTGGGGCTTCGGGCATGCGATGCTCCGGTTATTAGCCCCTGTTGTTGGGACCCCGGCCATGTGGCGTCCTGCGGCGCCAGGAGGGTCAGGGGACGGCGGTGCTCCGGCTATTGACCGGAAGGGCTGGGGTGCGATATCCCCGTTGTTAGCCGTTGCCGCTGCGAGGGCTGGGGCGCCGGCACCAGTAATACAAGGACGCAACAAAACGCGATGCGTGATTACTGACGCCAAACAAGCACGGGACGGTTACCCCCCGTGGATCGCCCCTCCCCCGCACACTCTCTGCTATCCGTCTCTTCTCGTCCTGCCGAACCATCCAGGGCCCGGCGCCGCCTGGGTGACGCCGCCGGCCCAGCTCATCACTGGGCGGACGGCTGATCCGGATCAGACGCCGACCGGCGGGCGGCAGGCGGCCGCGCAGCATCTCCGGATCGGACAGAGCGGGCCGCTGCTGACCTACATAGCGGCCGGCGGCAACAGCTCGGCACCGACAGCGCTCGCCGCCCTCAGACACGCACCGGGCTGACATGGAGGCTGTCCGACACGAAGGCCGTCTGACACGGAGGCCGTCTGACACAGAGTCTGTCTGATACGGAGGCTGTCTGACACAGAGGCCATCTAAAACGGAGGCCGTCTGACACAGAGTCTGTCGGTTACAGAGGCTGTCTGACACAGAGGCTCTCCAACACGGATTTTTCTGACACGGAGGCTGTCTGACACGGAGGCTGTCTGACACAGAGGCCATCGACAAGGAGGCCGTCCGGCACCGAGGCCGTCTAGCACAGACTGCTACGAGATGCAGCCGCCGACGAGCCTGACGCACTGTCACCGACTGACTTGACAGTGGGGCAGCCCGACTGACTCCCTCTCTGATGCGGTCCGACACAGATCGTCTGACACGTCCTCTGACAGAGACATGACCCCTGACACACGCCGTCCGAAGCCCCTGACTCCTGACACACACCGTCCGAAGCCCCTGACTCCTGACATACACCGTCCGACCGACTACCACATGTACCGTCTGACGCACAGACCGCACACTTCACAGGCTGCTTGACACACAAACCGTCCCATGACAATGACGGACGCATAGTCTGCCTGACACACGGACCAGCAGGCACACAGACTGCCTGGTCCACAGGCTGCATGACACAAGAAACAGCTGGCACACAGATGGTTCGACACGCAGCTCGGCTGACAAACTGACTGTCCGACGCGCAGACCGCTGGCACGCAGACAATTTGGCACATGGACCGCGCGTTGCACGAGCGGTCCTACATCGACCTCCTGACACTCACAGTTAGAGATCAAGACGGTCTGTCGCGTGGCTGTCTAACCGATGGCGAACCTGAGGCTAAAAGACTAGGCACGGCTATGTGACCGATGGCGAACCTGTGGCCGAACTTAAAGCTGACAAACAGCCCATGTGTCGCACGTATTTAGGCCAATTGTCCACGAGTTTTTAACACTTGGTATCAATAGTTATGCTGCAGAGTTCGTAGAAATCCTGCAGAAAATCTTCAGACATCTCATCGACAAAGGGCCTCGAAACAATAATAGATTCCTGGCTGTCAGTTGAAGTGCATATATTCCGTGAATTTACTACAGCACGAAGTAAATTATCTTACATTCCAGCGCACTAGCGAACCAGGAATACTTAGTGATCGATGCATTTTTAGCATTACGGCAGCTTGCGTAGCCGGCGGGGCCACCAAGTTGTTTCCACTTTCGAACACGGAACCACACATTCGATGAGAGAGCGACAGGCTGTAACTCGTCAGACGCTGGTATGACGGCGCTGAGTTTCCTGCCATTGCCTTCAACCGTGCAATCTTCAAAAGGCAAGAGCCATCAAGGGGGCCGGTTACCTAGATAGTGTCTACGACGTTCCGTCACTTCTGTGAAGTAGGAGCACATTGTCTGCATAGTTTATAGAAGATAGCTGGAAGATGCCTTTTCACAGCAAAGTCATCGGCATTGTCATCAAGCACATTTCAAGTTTGGAGAAACCAGGAGCAATATATTCACAGAGCAGGCTATGTTTGAAACATCGCATGGTTTATCGCCCATCTTGGCTCCCATTTTCCTCTCAAATAGACACAAAATAGGTTTATCGCCGAGCACCTCTTCGTAAAATGTGAAAATACTCAGATGATTTCAGAACAGCGACTGCTGTTTCCTTTGTCGTTGATTGCACTCTTATGCAACTACCGTGGCTAATTTGTGAGCCTTTTGCTTGTTTACTGCAAGATTCGGACGAGCTGTTTCCGGTTTTCAACGAAGCGGAGAAGGAACACAGCTCCCAAGTACGCGACTTGAGTCACCGATCCCACTTTGTCCATGCGATGATTGGTTATTACACCTTGTTTGGCTCCGATGCCGCTTTACAGGTGCAGTAGTATCGGCATAGCTCTCGCAAGTCGTTCTTTAGCTCATTTTCGCACGGTCGGACAAACTGACTCCAAAAATTACAGTGGTCAGCGTGACCGGCTCAGTGTTAATGATATGCCTTAATGATATGTCTTAATGATTGTTGATGATATGCCTTAATCGTTAAGCCCAAAGGTTACGAAGCTTAAGAATAGCTTTTGTGATTGACATATAATATGAAATTTTGATGACACAGAGGCCTCAGGGTTATGAATGGATGCCCGACGAAGGTAAGCTATTTTGGGCGCTAGCATTAGCACTATGAACACTTTCCATCTGGCCTACTAAGGTATATACCCATACGTTCCCGCTCCCACTGATTCTTCGAATGTTGTGCCAGTTATCAAGACCGCGATGTTGGGACATCTGAGAAATCGAAGTGATTTCGGAGGTATCAATAGCAAATTTGTTCACCGCACTTTTGGGTTGACCGAGACCACAGCCGGCGACAAAGTTGCTCTTACCCTCAAGCTACACATTCATTGACGTCGAGCATTGTACAGGACAAACGGCACGACTACCATCGGTGTGGTACGCCATTTTGGATGTTTTTTGTGGGTTGGAGGTCTTGTGCTTGCACACGCCTGCTCTCCCGATGAACCTCAGCGCTTCACTGGCTGGCTGCGGCCGGTGCCGTCCTATCCCGACATGCGTGTGTGGGATTCGGCGGCCGTAATGGCGCCGGTCTGACGACTCCAGGGGGCACACCTGCGGCAAAGCCGACCCAAGTCAATAATTCGACCCGGACCCGTCAGCCGGAGACCTACATCTCCGGGCCGCCGGAATGTAGGATCTCGGATCTGGCACTGCTGGACCGTGAAGGCGGGCGCCACCACCGCACTGAACGCTATTCGACGCACTCCGACAAGTGCTGATTTATTTGTGATCAGTTTTGTCCAGCGGCTTTCGCGCTGCGCCCCCTGGAGAGAATTCAAGGGGAAGCGAGATGAGGAAAAGCCGACGAGCGCTGCTAGAGGGTTCAGTGAACAAGGCACTGCGCAGTTATTAGTTTGGTGCGTATTTGGTGGGTCACGCGCACAGCAAGCTAATGCTGCTTTCATAAAAATGAAGGTAACGCACCGCAAATTATCCGTGTACCTTTGGTTCACTGCTTGGGACGGCTTTCAAGGACTTTGCGCCATCATTAAACGATGCCTGCCCTCCAGGCAAGCCAGTAATGAAATGCATTATGCTTACATACTTTCACCAATCATGCAGCAGAGAAAGCTTGACTGCATACTTTAAAGGTCTGGCCATGTTACAATTCTGTACGTATTAACCTCGATACGTCGTCGTTTTGTCATAATGAACCCTTGCAAAGACTAGATGTCATTTGTTCAATTACAAGCCGGTCGGCTGGTTTTATAGTCTGTAACAATCATTTGAATTAGCCTTAATTAATCAGGTGCCTTAGCTTGAATTTGTTACACCTGCTGGTCTACATTGGCCGTGTCTGTGCCGACGGCCTCGTCCGGCCGGGTGTCGTCTGCCCGGCGGGAGGCTGACGGCCGCCGCTGCCACCAGGTCCAGGCAGCCGTGCTCGAGATGAAGGCCTCCTTCACCGGAGCGCTGGAGCAGCTGACGGCCTCCTCCCAGCCGGCGCAGGAGGCGTCCGCGGCGGCCGAGGCGGCCAGCGCTGCTCCACATGTCCAGCTGCTCATCAGCCAGCTGCAGGTACGCTTACCGACCGGCGCTGCTCACCGCTGACTCGCCTGAGCCGACGCTCACAGCAGCGCAGCCCGAGCCGTGCAGCCAGGTAGAAAATGAGCGGTGGCGAGGTCTCTCAGGGCACTGCTCCCGACGCAATGCCTACGCGCCTAATGCTAACTTACTTATGAGTCGAGAATCCATGTCCCTTCTCCGATCTCAGTGGGATTCTCCCAGCCGTTCACTTCAATGAACAGCACGAGACATATTAATATGATGTTGAATTAGTTCAGCCCGTCCTTCTTGCTGATGCGCCAGGGCCTTCAAGTGTGACTGGGTGAAGAGCCGTGCGCATTTACCACCCACCTGCGCTAGAAATGTCGCTGCTGCATACCTTTGTGAGTCACCCTGCACACCCGCAAGTTAGCGCCCTACCAATGACGTCAGTAAGGCTGGCCCACGCAGGCACGCTAATCTTTGCGACATGGTACCATCAGTGGTCAAAAACGCACATTTTTGAACAGCACTACATCATGACGAGCAGTGGCTAATCTCACAAAGTCCGGGCTTAGGGTATACAATGTTGGGTGACATGCGCAGCACACGTACTGAAGGTCTGCTCGCACAGGCGGTTTTTGAAGCGCGTCAAACGTGTGTCAAAAAGCAGGTGACATGATGAGAACAAATTGTGAAGTGTAATCCTTACCATGTTGTGCTCAAATTAGAATAGAGATGGCTGACTTGTCGCAGCTTTGCCACGCCGCTAACCTATCCCCTATATGCAGCTAACCAAGACAGCGGCAATCGACGCACCGCTGCTGCAATGGTCCACAAAAATGACCCAAGTATAGTGCGTACTTGCACGCAAAAATGCACCCGGAATACATTGGGCTCCTGTTCTCCAAAACATTTCCATCGTGACCGGACTGGAGATGAGATAAAACAGCATAACCTGTGCAACGGCGATGGGTGTTGAAAATCATCACGCTTGAATGCGGCTCATGTCGTCGCGCCCTTTTTATGGATCACTAATGGCTGCAGGGCATTAGCCCGACCGTATCAGCCCTCATGGTGCATGGCGCGACCGGGGTTCGAACCCGGGTCACTATGTGGGAACCAAAGGTACTAACCACTCGGCAACTACAGGAAAACTAAGACCCAGCAGACGCTCGTTTCATAACCTGGAGCTGTGTTCGCGCGTCAGGCGTGCTAAAAATATGTGTGGATCAATAGCCTTCAGAACAGTTGTACTGGTGTGCCCTCTGTTCCAGTCGCATTGTTGTTTTATGTTTGAAACCAGGAACAATCAGAAGAAACGGAGTTTGTCTTGCTGAAGAACCCACGATCGTGCCCATCCTGGCGTCAATAACCGCACACAAAACCGGGACGGCGCTGGTCGTCAACCGTACAACTGGTAACACTTGCCATCTGTTGGCGATTGACGTAACTTATGACGCGGCCAGGTGGAGCTGGGAACGGCGACCTCAATGCTGCAGCAGCTGCAGGAGGGTCAAGAGCAGACGAGGCAGCAGCTGCAGCAGTTGCTGTACGAGCGAGACATACTGCTAGACGAACTGTGCAAAACAGGCAGCGTGTCCGACCAAATAAGGTAGATGCTAACTCTTTAGATAGCAAGGAATGCACGGCTTTTGCTAATCTAAGTCGTTATTTCTACCGATCGGGAAGCGATCTTCAAAATCATACTCCCGATAGAAAATGACTGGTAACTCACCGTGAATACCATTCATCATCTGGACGAACAGGGCTGAACTCCAGCGCTCATACCGAACGCTGCCGTTGTTGGCAGGCAGCGGCTGCACCAGCCGCAGCTGCACTTCCCGTCGCGGACGCCCAGCGGCTGCCACAGTACGGACTCGGGCGTGGGTCACGTGCTGCACAAGGCGCGCTCGTACGGGCCCTCCGATCCGGAGAGCGGCTCGCTGCCAGACCGGCCGCTCGTCTCCACCATGGTCCAGGAGTACGTCAACGGCCTGGGCAGAGGTGAGCGGTTGGCCGCAGCTGGTGGCGGCAGCCGAGAGCCGATCACCGGAAAAGCGGCGTCCTCGGAGTTCTGGTGCTCTACGCGTGAGAGCGTTTGTTTACAACGCACGTGTTGTTGAATATAAAGAAACGTTTTAACTTCACCACGTGTTTATAAACAAGGCCGAACAAGAACGCAATGCACGGCTGTTTTGAACACAAAAACACGCTTTAAGAAAAGGGTAAGCATTATGTCATAAGCGTCAGCATAGTTCCACGTCATATCTGAAGTCGCCAGGACGCGTGCATTTTCATGTTACGCGACTTTGTAACTTAACTCGTTCACAGAAGCCAATGGTTACGAGTCGGACTCGTCGTTGACAATGGCCGTCAGCAAGTCCTTCACCCTTAGCACGTCTCTCTCCAAGCAGTGCGACTTGGAGCTGGATGAGCTGAGCGAGAGTGACAGCGAGGGTCAGGTAAGGCTTCACCCTCACGCAAACCTCATTTTTGAGCCCACCAGTTGAAAACAGTCGGTCTTGTGCGCACCAAAGGCGACTTATCCCTCTGCCGTTTGACCTGACCGCCAATGGGGAGTTCATGGTGGCGTGCCTGCCGCCGAGGTCACGCTACAACTCGTTAGTTGTGTACGGAAGCTGTCGCGTGGGTGCGTGAGCACTAGGTGCACGCTTGCACACGTACGAGCGTTACCACACTGCTTGCTTGTGTGCGCTGCTAACTAGAGACAACGTGCGTATGGTGGCGACAATGTGTATGCCACTGGCAGCACTGTAGGTACTGTTCAGCATGAGTGCGCATATACGCATACTTATACCGCTCACAACTATGCATGACCATGCTGCCGGGGATGCATGTGCCTCTGACCGCCCCCGGCCGCCGTGTCCACAGGACATGTGTGAGCCTCTGACCGTCGCCGGCCGCCGTGTCCACAGGACATGTGTGAGCCTCTGACCGCCCCCGGCCGCCGTGTCCACAGGTCAAGTCTGCCAGCGCGCCGGTGCCGGACGAGTCGGAGCGGCTGAAGGTGGTGCGCGAGCTGGTGGAGACAGAGCGACGCTACTGCGGCACCCTATGGACCCTGCAGGACACGTTCGCCGAGCCGTTAGCGGCCAGCAGCGTCCTCACCAGCAGCGAGCTCAGGTGAGCCCACTGCAGGCGCCGGACGCCGGCCAGGCAAGCGTGACGCCATCGGGACACAAATGGCGTCATAGGGTGCATATGACGTCAGACGGACACACAGGATGTCTGCAGAGCGCACGGTCTGTCAGATCAGCACAAGGGGCGTCAAACGAAAGCGTCTGGCTTCAGGTCGCGCACATGAGATGTCGGCATAGCTTACAGGACAGTAACTGGGACGCACTACCAGTCCCTTTAATTGCTTGTTTTTCCACATCTGGAGGTAAATTCATAATAAGTGGCGATTCCTTGCCTTACGCCACCTGGCAACCACGCCATGACATCGTGGGAAGTCGGAGCAGTCGCTGGTATACAACACCTGACACTCAGATACACGGCCACAATTGCTCACACATGACACCAGCTGGGTGTACGGATGCCAGATGGTGGCAGCCGCGGAGCTGCTAATCCTCTGCTGCTTTGCTGCCCGGGCCGGGGTCATGTCAGGGCGGCGCCTCCGTTCAGCGCCGCTGCTCTGACTCGGATGCCTCGTCCAACGTCGCTGGCTGTGTTTCAGCACGCTGTTTCCGGACGAGATCGGCGGGCTGTACGAGAAGCACTGCCGTCTGCTGCACACGCTGGAGGAGCGTCTGGAGGCCTGGCACTGGCGGCCACACGTCGGCCACATTCTCTACAAGTAACTGGCATGCGCTCGGTTTTCGCTCGAGTTGCCCTGCTTGTGGTAACGCCATCTACCTTTCAGCGCCGAGTGCCAGTTTTATGATAGAAGCGGGCAAGTCGACCTGCTTGGCTTATGATAGCGCTTAAAAGATCTATCGTTTGTTTAATTGGTGTCAGGAGAAATATTACAATGCAACAAATTTGTATGTCACAAGGAGTGCGACTACTGCAATCCACTTTTTCCACGCTAGCTTAGATTAGCATGCGTCTGTAAGAAACAGCATCGCATTGCTTGTGTAGAGGCGCTGTATGAGCTGACTTTTTCAGGTTTATCAACCGAGGGGAGTTGGATGTCCTTCGAATGTACACTTCTTACGTGAACGACTTCCCGGAGGTGCTGAAGATATTTTACAAGCTTTGCCGCACGTCCAGCGAGTTCACCAAGTTTCTGAAGGTGGGCCGTTACGGTGTTGACGCCAAGACGGGTGATTTGGTCAATTGTCGGAATCGAGCCATCACGCGATCTCAGCAGAACAATGCACGCCAAAAATCCAAACGCAGCCGACGGCTGTGCACCATCAACTCAAAGGCTCTGGCGCACTCTGCCTTCATACTTTTACCGTAGAGGGTAACTTCATAAATTTCTGTGCGGCCTGAGCCTCTCAGTGTTCTCAGCGTCAAAGATCAACCGGAAGTATCTCGAAGGGCTGTCAAAGTCCTCATCCCTCGGCATAGATCAGTGTTAGCGTCTCCAACGGAGTCTGATGCCGCCAGAGCCGACTGCAGCACCCTAGCTGCAACGGCCTGGACCTGGGGGCCTTCCTGCTGTCGCCCGTGCAGCGGGTGCCGCGCTACGTCCTCCTGCTGAAGCAGCTGCTGCGGCACACGCCGCCTGCGCACGGCGACCACGACTCGCTGCAGGCCGTGCTCGACGCGCTCAAGCAGTTCCTGGCGCGCCTCAACGATTCGATGGAGCACTCGTTCCAGCTGGTGGCCGTGCACATGAGCTCGCGGGAGCTGGACGGCAGGTGAGCAGCCTTCACTGTCTGGTGTGGCTCGGGCGCAGACAGCGCGTCACGGCCTGGCGTCACGTGGCAGTGTTGTGGTGGTGTCCTGAGCAGTGTGTATGTGCGGCGCACTAATGGCGAAGGATCGTTAACAAGGACTGTGCTCCGCTCGCCTTTTGCTGCGTACAGTTAAAGATTGCTTTGTGTGGGATATGGAGATGATCACATATTTGATGCTCTTTTTTTCTCTGGGAACGCTCAGTCCCTCTTATGTACGCGCAGCATGAATCGGTGATAAAATAAAGTTTTTGATTATTTGTGTCCTAATTCTCCACGAAACGAGCCAAACGTTTCTACTTAAACCAACCTGTGTTCGTGTCTTAACTAGCTTGAGAGCGTTGGCACTAATTTGACGAGCTCGCGATGCCATCGTCAGATTGTCGAAACAGTCGCACAAGAGCGCCACCTACGAGAGTGCCAAGACGGGCCGCCAGAGTCGCGTTGGACCGGGTGAGAGGGCGGCACTGCGCCGCCGTTCCAAATCGAAGCCGGCATACCGGTCAGCGGCGGCCGACTCCGCCGCCGGCCGCCTGCTGCTCGGTATCGACCGAACGGGCTCGTCAAGCAGCAGCCAGACGCAGAGCAGCGAGGAAGCGTCCGGCTGGGGCGGCTACGGTGGCCGCACGGCCGCGCAGAAGGCACGCCGCCACCGCCAGTACGACTGCCAGTCGCTGCCGCACATCAAGCACCGACGCCGTAGTCAGTTGACGGCGGCTCGCTCCGAGACGTGCCTGCGCGACGCGTGCTGCCGCCTGCCGGCGCCGCCACCGCATGAACGTGGCCGCAAAATGCACGCGAAGTCTGTTCACAACCTGCACGTAGAGACATCTAGCGAGGTTTTGCACAGGCTAGAGTATGAAGAGGTGGCGCTGAGTGAGCCTAGCCTGTGCGACGCGCCGATCTCTGAGCGAAGTCAATCTTCGGAAAAACGCAGGGTGAGACATTCATCAGTTCTAGGTATTGTAGGAATATGGTGACTTTTCTTGCTAGTAAACCGCACACACCAGAAGAGCCGACGTAAACAGCAATGATAATACAACTGCGCAGAAATGCCCTGCCCACCTTGGTGGCAGTAACCAGATTCATGCTGTTCACTACCAAATAAAATTGCACCACTGTGAGCCATTGGTCGACCAACGAGCATAATCAATCTGGAAAAGGGAGTGTTGCACATCTGTATCGGATTTTGAACTGAAAAAGCTATCTTGAAGATCATTAAATGCAGTTCACGGCCATGCCCGTCTAAGACGTAACTGTTATAGTTCCTGAGCTACATGCCCGCAAAGATATGCAGATGATTTCGTGCAGACTGTTTCAAAGTTAGCCAGGTATCTATGACGTCATGATTCATCGAAATTCGGACATTCCATTGGTCACGCGGCGATCAAGGTCAAGACAAACATAATATCGAGTTCCTTATATCTGGCGCGTTACTTCGGTGCCTCCAGCTTTCTTAGTTCCAGAGATCTTAGGGAAGGGGGTCAAATTGACCCCCCCCCCCCCTCCCACCCGAGCGAAGGGTATCTAGCCGGCCACCCGGGCGCGTGTTAAGGAAAGTGGAACTTCGTCGTATAACCACTGAGGATGGGTTGGAAAACATGATTTACTCACATGTGAATATATTTCCTCATTCCGCCGGAAATGTGCCTGTCCTCTGATTGTTTTATAGTACCGTGAGTGACAGCGGAGCGGGGCCTGTTCTGACCTTATGAGTGCTCACTGCACGTTGCAGGGGAGCCGGACTCTGCCCAGGGGACGGTCGGCCAGCGTTGTCGGAGCGGAGCCTGTTCTGACCTTATGAGTGCTCACTGCACGTTGCAGGGGAGCCGGACTCTGCCCAGGGGACGGTCGGCCAGCGTTGTCGGAGCGGAGCAGTCGACTGCGCCCCAGTCACGTGACCACAGCGTCGACAAGGCGGCGAAGGCCGAGAAGCGGCGAGTCTCACTACGCGCCATCAAGAACATGTTCAGCCTGAAGAAGAGGTCAGTGACGTACGAGGACGCAAACATTGGTCTTACCTGAACGGCCATTGGAGTGAAGTGTATTGGTGTGCGTTGGTACGGTTGTGCCTTGACAGGCCCTTTCTCCTTTCTCGCTTCATCCTATAGTTTTGCGACGCCCCGTTCATCCAGGGCAGCTACATGCGCCAGTCACGAGTGGGCTAAGGTGAGCCCTGATGGCGCGGGCCCGTCAGAGTACCGAGCACATACCCCGCACAGGGGTTCCCGTGCGGGCTAGGTCTCGGCAGTGTTCATGGCCATAAGTTCATCCCATAGCCTTGAAATGGTCCTCATTAGCCAAAGAGGCTCTGTTCAAAACCAAAGTGAACAAACAAATCTTGCGTATGGATTGATCTGTCAGACAGAAGTGCGTCTGTTAGTCACACCCGGCCTGTGGTGGGTACCCGTCTGAATCCTCTGCGATGAGCGTGGGTGGGGCAACGCCGGGCCCGAGCCTGATTGGTGGTATTGTATCATACGCCGCCTTACCACCGGTCTACCTACCTCCTCCAAGGCGACACATGTCCGCGGTTTAAGAATGATTTTCACCAGGCGTATTTACCTTCGTCATAGAACTGTCACCAGAAAATCTTAGGTGTCTTCGCTGTTACAGGTACACCTATCTCTTCGCGGCAATTTGTCACGTGCTGAGGATGTGGTTCAAGCTCAATTGCGTATAATGAGTTCCATTGTTTTAGCGTGACGTTTCCCGTGAATGCTATCATTGTGCGGCACAAATCATGGAACAGCTTTAGGGCGCTGAGATGGCGCCATGATATAACATTAACGTTGCTGTCATGTGGGAAGATGAAATTTTAGTCACAATTTTTGCGTTTGTTTTCTTCACTATTGGAGTCCTTAACCAAAGAGCCTTTTAACTACCGATTTACATAAGCTCTCAAGATGCGAGCTGCGCACACCGAACAGAAGCGATTCCAAGCGCAGTTTTCTGAAGGAGCATTCTAGGGCATATCTCGGGTTGTTTTAAATGAGTACGAAATCCACCGTCCTTTGCGCGCGGCCGATACTTGACTGGACTGAAATATGACACGTTTTCGGCGTCAAAATTCATTACATTTAGCTTGGGTGTGATGCTTGTGAATTGTCCGCGACTAATCCAGAATAAATAAGGGATTAGAGTTTAGGCACGCATCGTTTAACATGAATCACATGAAATGACGTATAGAACTATAGTCTCATTAGTATGAGCTGTTAAAAGCTACCAATAACACAAAAATGCGCGCAACTGACTTGTGTTTCGGGTTCACTCGTTAACGGAACCATTTTGGTACGTTTTTTCTCTTCCCTGACTTCATACATCACTCACATCAACGGCGGTGAAATTTCACAGACGCCTACAGCGATGAACTGGGGCGGATCCGACACCATAGATGGGGTGAATGTTTTGAGGTCAGGGTTCTTACAGGGTCTGCGCTATTATGATATGTCTGTGACGTCCTTTGTTACCTTTATCTGATAGATCGTATGAGGGTGGAGTCATGTATTAAGAAGGTGATATCGCACATTGTGCTTTGATAGTCGAATAGGATAACCTGGCATGGAAAGTTATAAAGGGAGAACTTGGACGATAACTAAATAGACAACACTGCGTTGTCACACCTACATCCATCGCTGGCAACAATGGCTGACAGATGAGTTACTTTGATGTTTGTAAGCTAACAGCTACTGTTACAAGTCGTTTACCCTTGCAGCTATCTGGTCCACCCGAGTCCACCGTTAGTCATCTGAGTGTGCCCATTCCACCACTTTGCCATTTTATCAGTGACTTACTTAGGGCTCTAAATCAAAGAAGAACACAAAATGAAAAGCCGCTAAATCAAAGAGGCAATTTCAAGAGTGGATAAAGTGTCTGTACTTGACGTCATTGGCAGCGCAATGGTGCCATGTCACAAGGCTGTGCACCGTCAAGGCCGATTTGTCAAAGGAAGTGACGTCATCACCAGTGGCATATTGCCTCCGTTGCCAGGAGACCGATGATTACCACCTGAGTCATTACGCGTGTTACGCAAGCGAATGGGCATTACCGAATTCCGCTGCGGAACTGGCTGTCGTTTGCCGTCACGGCCACCATAAGCCAGTCGATGCCGTGCTCGCTCCACTGGCATGTGCGACGCGCTGTGGCCGTGCCGTGTCGGGCTCCATCCGTGACACGCTCGTCAGGCGACTTTATGACCTGGCGTTATGACCTGGCGTGGTACGACGCGCGCGGGACCCGCTCGTGAGCCCGCAGCGGCCGGCCGGCCGAACGCGCCCGCTCCCCCCCCCCCCCCCCCTCTTCGGCCCGTAAAGCAACGACTGACGCACTGCCCTTCCCAATCCAGGAGTTCACGATCGGGCGTGCTCAATATCAGCGACAGCTCGTGCGGCGTGGCGGCCCCCTCGGCCGACCAGTACACGCCGCTGCAGGACGGCTCGACGCCCGCCAGCCAGGGCGACTTCACCGACGAGGAGGGACGCGCCTGCAGCAACGTCTAGTGCTGTGCTCTGAGCCGCCGCGCCCTGCCAGCACGCGCCCAGTACAAACAGATGCCACCACGATGGGGCTTGTGCCGCGCCCCGCACACCGCTGGCCAGCGGGGGCCTGCGCTCCGCCAAGGGCGTCTTGGTGCCTCCACCAGCCCGCTGGGCTGGAATACGGCATCGCGGGAATGAAGTGTCGCGTGCTCTACGTGCTTGAATTCGTTATATCCAGTGTTCTCGCCGGACTTGCCTGCAAAGTACATGCTTTGCGGAGCAATGGACCTATTCGACAGCATTACGCCGTTGAATGGGCGGCAGGTCAGTTTATCAGCGAGCCCGAACCTACTTAACAAGCCCAAATGCTTCACTGTCACGTATTCGACTCTCGGACGAGTCCTAGATATGTAATGAAGGCTTAATGATGAGATGCAAACGTTGTGTACTTGCTAACATGCGCACCGGCCCGTCTGTTCCACAAGAGAGTATTTCTTATTCCGTGTCTGTCCATCGCATACGCCCATCCATATACGGCGTCATTTTAACTGTGCGAATAAAAGCTGAAGCTTATGAGGTGGTGTTTGCGTACAGCCATACATATTTATAGCTACCTATACGTTTCTTTTCATGTGCATGCACATTTGCTGCAGCTATGTTGATGATGTCTTTGTTGATATGAGATATATCGAGGCCTCCACAGCATCATCGAAAGTAAGTAAGTTCATTCTGTGCTTAATTTATTTTAAAGCTCATAGCACACAATACGCGAACTTTTCTTGACGTCCTGGCCAACAGCCACCATGAAAATTACAACATCAGTTTATCGGAGGCCTACATATGAGGGAAGATGTTTAAACGGTAACAGCGAGTGTCTTTCTCGGTACAAAACGGTCGAGGCTAGGGCCGACATATGGGACCTATTAAAAACTGCTCCACTTGGAAATTGCCAAAGCAAAATTTGTTAGGCGTGAGCACATCTTGGTCAACAATGGCTTTTCCATGAGGAATTTGACCATGAAGTAAAAGAGCATGTGAAGCGAAAACCCAAATACTGGAGCTCAACAAAACGGCAAAAACATGATTAAACCCTTCTACTGGAATCACATGTCATCATGTAACAAAGTGGACGAATGCATCACTCACGAAATCATCCGACATAGTATACACCAGCATGACAGATCGCCTTCAACTCAGCATTTACTTTGAGAACAGGAAAGCAAGCAGCCTATTGAACAAGGCAATATGACGGCAAAACATGTTATTTTGGAGAGCACTAATGTAGTTTATCAATATTCTTGTCCGTACGAAGCATGTAGGCTTCGTGGGATAGACCACGATGGCGTTTCAACTGCTTCTCTTTCCAGGCGTAAAACAACACGTGACCCAGTTCCACAAAATAGCTTTGACGCGCGAGAAACTCACTCAAAACACAATTATCAAAACGTGACGCATGGCACGAACTGATGACATTGAGCCTTTACCATTCGCAAACATGCTCGAGCACTAAAAACAACTTAATAATTGTGTTACACTGGGACTCTGGAGGGTACCGAGAAGCGGACGTCTCCAATTTCTGGGGCACGTTAAATGCATGTGAAGTATGTGGAAATGCATTAAGGTAGTCAACGGTTGTTTTGAAACTGCTTAATTGAGCTACCTTGCTGAGGCGTGCCAGACTTTTTCACGAAACATTGCCTTTTTTACTCAAATAATCAAATATGCATGAAGTGTCATTTTGATCGTGCCTATGGCATAGCATAATTGTTTGATAAAGGCTAATATTCAAAGTGAACTATAACGTTGTGATGAATATACGACGAACGTACGGCCTTTTAGATGAGAAATATTGGTGATTTCACCAATACCCTTTGAATGAATTAACAGCAAGCTTGTTAAAGCCCAGCGCTCCTTGGTCTTTACAGAAAATGTTGCACATTTGAAAATATTGAACCAAGTATCAGATATGATGACATTAGCTCACTTATAGCTATCGGCGTGTTTTTAAGTGGAAAAGGCTGATCAGGACGATCAGTTTCTCTCTTTGGTAAATACTCTCCTAAGTACGTCATTGTTTGTTTGATAACCTCATCGCATAATGCATAACAATGTTTAAGAGCCAATTGACGGCCATTGCATCTGAAGATGGTACGCGCAAGTGCCAGATATGAGCGACTCGGCAACTATATTTGTAGGCTTGAATCGCCGCCTGGTCAATGTTAGGGCAGGATTTAAATGACGTGGTCACGGCGCTATGAATGCCTGAGTGACCTCGAAACACTCTCCCCGAAACAATCTACACATCTTCGCCAGCATGTAGATCGGAAACTACACGGGTTTAGGTCTTAAAGGGAGTGTTCCACCTTCGTATGGAGCTTTGAACTGAAATAGCCGTCTTGAGCATCATTCGGTGGAGGTGCCAGACCTGCTGTTCTAAAGGTCTAGAACTCTCTAGTTTTTTAGTCACACGTCCGCAAATATGTGCAGACTATTTCGGGGGACTATTCCAAAGTCACCTAGGCATATATGCCGTCATGATGTCATTCAAATTCCATACCATTACCCATGCGGCGATCAAGGCCAATAAAAACATGATTGTCCAGTCGTTCATATCTGGCATTCTTGAGCACAATTCAAGATCTAGCAGCTGTCAACTGGCTGTCAATCAATGCTGTGCAAGGTGCATAACGACAGTAAACGACAGTAAAGACAGTCAGTGAATAATGTTAGCGTAAACGACAGTAGCGTGTAGTACACGACAGTGACATTTACATAACGGCAGTAAATGTCCGGCCTTATATCGTTATTTTATAGCGTATCAGCTTCCACATGTTGCAAGAAGAAGTTAACAGATAAAAGTCCAAGAGAAGAGCCTAGCGCAACACTATCCAGCGTAGGGGCTTTTAGCAATCGTTCAAGAATATGGAATATCGATATGTTGGATATGGCTGGAATATCGACAGCGGTTATTTTGGGATGATCGTACACGTGATCAATTTTTCCCTTACGCGGGCCTGATGGACGAATGTATTGCCCAATTAAGGTTGTGCCGATGGGTCCTCCTCTTGGACTCATATTTACTAGATGGTTTATGGGACATGTAGAAGCTGACTCACTAGAAGGTGACGACATAAGACCGGACACTTACTGTCGTTATGTAAGCGATATGTTTGTGGAGGTTATAGACACTGGCCAACTAGAAAGTCTAAAAAATGCATTTGAAGAGCAGCCTAGCTTAAAGTTCACGAGAGAAGTAAGTTTCCAAAATACCTTTCTCGATGTGACTGTTAATGAACAAGGACAGCGATTTAGAACGACTGTATGCTGGAAGTGGATTAGCAACCGATGGTGCTTAAATGTTGACAGTGAATGTTCTCAGCACTACAAATTGGCGCCATAAGGTAATTATTTATGCAGACGTGCATTTACCCATGTTGTTGTCAAGCGGCCGTGACATCACCCTGCGTCCGGGCCCATCACTCAGGCACACACTCTGGGTGCGTCCCTGAAGCTGGTGCTTAAATGTTGACAGTGAATGTTCTCAGCACTACAAATTGGCGCCATAAGGTAATTATTTATGCAGACGTGCATTTACCCATGTTGTTGTCAAGCGGCCGTGACATCACCCTGCGTCCGGGCCCATCACTCAGGCACACACTCTGGGTGCGTCCTTGAAGATAAATGACGAGCCAGGAAATCTCAGCACGGTGCATCCGCAAAACCCGGTGCAAAATTTGATGATCAGTGACGTCAAACATTTGCGTAAATCAATCAGGCACAGCAGTGAGACCTCATCCCTATCGGCGGCGCTGAGGATGTGGTCGGAGACAGACACTAGCGCGTTTTCCATCGAGTGACGAGAACGGAGAGCGTGGTGGGAGGATGCAAGAGATGCTTGTAGGATAGGCATTGGTAAAACAGACGTCGAACGACACGCTCGACCACTTTGGCGGTGACAGGAATGAGGGGTATCGGACGGACACTGAATGGGTCAAACGGCTTAGCAGCCTTGAAAATGAGATGGGCAAGGGAATGTTTGCAAGCGTCGATGATATCGGAATGGGCAATGCAGAAGTTAACAATGTGAGGGATGACGTCACCGATAGCTGGGAAAGCGGCCTTCAGCATGCGGACACACAGGCCATTTGAACCACGGGCCGCTGAGCACCGCATACCGAAGACCGTGCTCCCAAACGTCTCCCGAATAACAGGCGATACCACAAACGAGTAATCCTTGACTCAAGAGAAACGTGTCGCTAAATCAGCGACTGGTCTTTATGCCTTAATTTCGGTGGCAACACGAGGATCGACTAAAACAAAAACCTCGTGCAGTTAATCAGCTGTCACAGCTGGTTGGATCAACTGTCCGTCTTTCTTCCAAGCTAACACCGTCTTCATGCACCACCACACTTTACCTGGACCCTGCTCGTTAATTTCCCTCTGGATCTCACTACGCCAATCGCTGTGGACGGCGGCTCGAACGGCGCGGTTCAGTTCATGGTACACGCAAGAGTCTCTTCCTGACCGCGCCAAAGCGGCCCGGCGACAGGCCATGAGGCCATGGGTGGCGGCGGAGATGGGAGGGACAGTGGAGTTAATGGCATGTGCGTCAACAAGAGGTAAAAATGTGTTGAAAATGCGGTCCGCTGATCATTGACGGTCGGGGCAGAGAAAACTTACCCCAATCAACACAACGAAGATTAGAATTAGAAGAAGCGATGCCGTTTTCGTTTCAGGCAGGTAGATGAAATAACAGCTCGCTTAACTAGAGTTCTCGAGGCATTCGATAGAACACTTATGAATGTACGCGAGCTAAAATGGCAGAAGCTAGCACTGCATTTACGCACGATGTCGTGGTGACGGTTTTGAACGAACACGCGGCGGAAGCAGTCAGCCCTGCGCTATAGGCTCTATCGGCACGTCCTTCAGACCAGTTTTATTCTGGAACCATCGCTGATGCTTTTGATTAGCGTGAACGTTATGGCGGCTCTTAAACCAGAATATCCCTCTCCATCAGCGATCTTTCTGGCCTTCATGTTCGTGCACTCGTCATTACTTGATCGTGCGCGGGCGTGTACGGTCAATCAAGTGAATGCCGAACGCACTGTAACGGCGCCCCAGGGACGCTCAGAGTTCGGAGGTGCATAACATAAAACACATTGCTGCATTTTGTCGTTCAATTGAAAATACTTGGCTACGGCACAACATAAAGTAAGTTACAGCTCGATGGCTACTCGCGTTCACGGATACGAGCAGCAGTTTTGATGAAGTATGTCGCCATGAGCCAACGCAGGCTTCATTCGTTCGCTCATTTTTTTGATCAACATGTCAACTTCGCCCAGGTATAATTTATGCTTATAACCGGGCTGGTAAACGAAAGCAATCTGAATGCATCCTTAACCAGTATGATGTTATATCTATAGACGCAACAGCTGTCGCCGTTGTTCCCGGGGGCCGGCCGGTGGGATCAAGGAGCAGCAGCGTCCCGACGCGGCCCCCGGCCGTGCTGGACACGAGTCCAGCCCTGCTCCGTCGGCTGCACAGCTGGCCCTGTCCGCGCACTCGGTGCTTCT